GTATTTATGAATTATTGATAGATTTGGTTGGTCATCCGTTTTTAAGTTCCAAGGTAGAATACGTTGAAGCTACCACTACATTAGAGCTATGTCAGAGAGATTTAGAAGTTATTGATGTTAAAGATTCGAATACCGTTGGTGAACTTAAGCTTAAGCTGAATGTACTAGGCAAGTGTCATTTCTTCTTAACTTATATGCGCGCATATATATATATAAATATATATATATATTTGGTTATATTTATATTTTGTAACATTTTAGCTATGTCAGGGTATTCGGATGCAGGATTTCCGATTGTAGATGATTCAATATTAGTTGGATATATAGCGTCAAATGAACTAGAACATGCAATAAACTCGTTGCATAGTTCAGATGATACTATAAGATGTTATTTTAAAGAACCTCCACTTGATTTAGAATCTATTGATTTTACTGCTTACACGGATCAGGTAATATACTCTGAATTAATAATAGCAATCTTTATTATATCTAATCGATTTATTTTCGTAGGCTCCATTAACAATTTCGAAAAATGCTTCATTAGAAGTTGTTTTGGAGATGTTTAAGAAGTTGGGATTAAGATATCTTATTGTAGTAAATTGTGGACAGTATGTTGGTGTTATACATAAAAAGAGATTGTTGGCGTATTTAAGGCAGATGGAAGGTAAAAAAGAGGGTAATATTATTCGAGAATAATATTAAAGTAATTTCAAAGTCAATCTTGTAGACCGAAAGATGATTACTAAAATAATTAGATTGTGTGGAGGACGAAGTATAAGATTATTTATTATATTATTATTAACAATAAATATTATTTATTTAACATTCATTTGTAATGTAATTATTCGCAAATAGATTTATTTATCATTTTTTATTTGTCTTCCTAATTTATAGTTTACAAATCACTAAATTTTAAAATAACTTTACCAAAATTTTTACCATTAAACATATCCAAGAAAGCTTGAGTAGCATTTTCGATACCTTCTTTCTTGTACCATATCCTTTAGGAATGATTCATAATATTCTTTATGATGGTCAAATACAATAAATCCATAATAATTCTTCTAGGTATAATTAATCCAAGATTTTTGATACCATATAACGTTGATTTTGCATTATTATATTGAGAAATCATACCATACGAAATTACTCGGGTGTTTATGTTTAAATGTGTTAAACTATATCAAGTGTTTCACCTCTAAAGAAGTTTGAGGGGGAGGGTAATAAATTTTTATAAAAGTATAATAATACATAAAGGAAGTTGATTGACTTACCCAACATTCTCAACAAAAAATATCAATTCCTTCGGGACAAAGTTTTGATCAATATCAACTTTTTTATAATTAAAGGCATGATCAAATTTTAATTCATTCAATAAATAATCGACTTTATTAATCATCACCAGTATGTAATTTAGAACATGTGATCTTATATTTATATCTTTATTTTTATTTTAATATAAAAGATAAATGTTCAGCGATGAAAAAAAGTAACTTACCGAGATAAAAATCATTTCGCCTTGTTTTGGTTTACCAATCATAAATAACCAACATAAGCGGTAAAACCTGGCATACTAAATGATATACCATTATCTAATGCATCTTTAAGCACTTGTTTATACATTAACGCTTTTTTCGCTGCTGCAGGAGAAACTTTGGTATATTCTTCCCATCCTATATTAATAAAGCATTTTTATCACAATGTCTCGTCTCATTCTAAATGTAAAAAAAATCTGACATACCGATAAAACCTAAGAATAAGTCACCTTTTTCCCATTGATCGTTATTATATCAATTACAACACCAATACCACCAGCCTCATTTCCTACGGTGAATTCGTCTATATAATTTTTTGCTTCAGTCTATTACGCATGTACGGGTCAAGTGACATATAAACATTTCTGATCAGAATTTCGCCTTTTTCCGATACAGTGGAGGAAATGTTGATCTTGTGTTCGATAATTTTAAAGTGCTCATTAATTACTGGTAATCCTTCAGGTATTTGACTATTATTTGATACTTCAGTGGACGTTTTTCAAGTGATTATTTTGATCAAAATTTTGTAATTTTTTGAGACATCAAAAAGAGCGGATTACTTCATACATTTTTTTTTTAAGAAATTTCTTTTTAACTCTGTCGTATTACATAATGTCAATTGATAATAATCGAGAAAATTATATTTATCATTTCCCTGTGAAATGCGTAAAAGAAGGTTTAGACTTGCAAATAATTCTACATACAGGATATTATTGATTGATGTCATCAAAATTTGCTAATAACGTTGCAATAAATGAAATTTACAGGAATAATACTTCTTTATATTTCTTATTAAGAAGGATAGACTCAAACTAAATTCATTTGATTCCTATATTATTATTATTTATTTCCTGATTCTAAATTTGTTAAAAAACTTTTTTTTTTGCTATTACGAATATAACATCATCTGTATAACAAACAAATGGGTGCGTATATATTCTGGAGAACAGATAATGAGTTGTGATATTTTATGGTAATAAAGGTCAATTTTCATTATATGGTTACGTTACGTTATTGTGCATCATTACGGTATGTGGTATTAATAAAAATTAGTAATAAAATATTATATTTGTACTTGGCACACTTATAGCAAATCAAAGTAAATTTAATTTTTTTTTTTTTAGATAGAACGAAATTAAGTAAAAAAAAAATGTCAGAACTTTATCCTACTATTTGCATATTACAATTGTATTTATTGAAGCCATTAGTTACACCTTGAGTAATGCTGAACAAGTTTGCCATAAGAAATTATTAAACAAAAAACTGAAGTAACCTTTACACAATAATATTCTCAATTTATTATTCAATTCCTGTTCCAATTTTTTGATCTGCAATTCTTTTTAACTTTAGATCAATTTCATTTTGTTTGAGTTGCATTTTACTTCCTTCTTGCATTCTTCAATTTCAAGTTCACAAATTACTGTATTAACTTTCATCTTTCTTATCAATGATACTTTTTTTTGAGTATGTTGTTTGATTTTTATCATTCTCTTAAATAAATTTTCCAGCTATTTATTTTTAGAAAATTATAACATGTATATAATAAATAAAAATCACAAAAAGTACCAATTAGCTTGTATTTTTTTTCTATAATCACTTTTAGATATATGAACATTTGTTTGCTTATATATTTGCATTCTTTATAAATGTAATCATCATGCTTCTATCCTCTAAAAATGCAATAATAAAAAAATTTATTGCAACTTAATAATATTATTATATTTGATATTATTGTGCAAACACCTTAATATTGCTCAATAATTTTCCTATTCAATTGCATAGGCACTTTTGGTAATATTAGTATCAAATGATATCATCTGCCAAGCTTCATAAAAAATTAAGGAATAATGATATATTCATAAACTAAGAACTCATGATATTTGATAATATATTAGGCAATTTAAAAAAAAACAATTATATAAATTGATAATAAATAATATAAACATGCAGCCAATCAAGCAGACATTCAAAATCTTACAATTGCATTATAAGCCTTACAAGAAGTTTTGCAACCTGCAGGATCAGTAAATGCTAACAATGGATTAGCTAATTTAAATGCATAATTGCAGGCTAATATAAATGCAATTACAGCAAATCCACTATGTTTAGAAACAAGTGTAGTCAACCTACTATATTTCTATGATAGAAACTAAGATCCTGTAGGATGGCTCGAAAAGTTTACTTGAGCATGCAATGCAAATGGCATTAATGATAACAAAAAACTTGAAGTTGTATCAGCATATCTCAAAAATGCAGCATCCACTTGATAGACTACTAACCAAGCTCTTGGTAATAGAGATCCTAATAGAATTAAAGCATAGGATGAAAATAATAATAACACTGACTTTACAACCAATTTTTCTGCTGCTTTCAAATTACAAATGCTTGTTGAAATCTGAATAACTAAATTAAAGAAGCGATATCAACATTCTGAAGAGAATGTTGATGACTGCGTCTGTATCTTACTTGAATTATACAGAAGAATAGAGACTTCAGCATTCCAATATCCTGATATGATGAAAGTTAGACGTCTTATGAATAGATTGATTCCTGAATTGCATCTTCTCGTAAAACCTTTTAATAATCAGATATAGAATGCTGCTCTTAATTGTACTAAGCAATATAAACTCACTTATAAGGATATAGCTGCAGTCGAAGCTTATATAAATAAGTATATCCTAACTATATATGAAGTCAAAATGGATCATTTCGGATATCCGAAATGGTCGAAATGGTCGAAATCATTTTTTTTTTTGATACTTTTACTAGGCACGCACAAGTGGTATTATATTTGGATGCATAC